AGATAAAATGATTGTGCATACATTGTTGATGATTAGTTATAGAATTAAAAGTAAACAATAAATAAATTTTTTTGACAGTGTATCTTCAGTATTTTGATAACCTAATAGAGTATATAAAACCCATTAAAGAGATATTTCTAAATGAAAATTGAATTACATACCTTAGTTTTTTTGTTTGTTTTTTTTGTCTCTTTTTCTTTATAGTTAATGGAGATTGTCAGTATATTTGAAGCCGATCGCAAAAATTATATCAAGTGTCGTTCAAATATACTGACATCAATATAAATTTCTTAACATTTACTTTTATTAATTCAATGTACATATTTATGAAGGTTTTATTCTTCATATTAAAAATGAGTTACATAATATTTTAAACAATCTTATTTGATTTTAAACTTATTATGCCTTCGTAGCCGATCTGTGAAAAGATCGTGGTAACTATCTTTTCACAGATCTATATATGTAGGTATATATCTTCTTTAAGGTCATGCCTGTTTTTATAAACCCTTTTTTTATATAATTTTTTTTTTGTAAACTTAGTATTAGAACATAAAGAGAATACGAGAAATTAAGGAACCTGTTAATAATTGAAGACAAATCAAACATTAAAATAACTAAAAATAATATTAATTTTTAATTAAAATCCTTCTATAAACGTTTTTTTGATCATTGTTGTTTTTTCTAGGCATGATCAATAGTTATTGATGCGAAGAGTTGATGAAGACATGTAAACAATATGTGAAGTAATGGATTTTACATTTAGAAAGATTTACTTTTTTTTAATCATTTGATCAGATTCTTACTTGTAACATTAGGTTGAATTTAGAGCTTTGAGCTAGATTTTTTGTATTCAAGATTTGCTAAAATGTGTGCGAATTCCGACTGCGACGTTACCATAACTGTATGACTTAAATTGAAATCTCCGTATTAGAAAATTCGCTTATTGTTGATTGAATGTAGTGATTAAAATCAAGCTACTTATCATTATCTTAAAGAATTAAGTGAGCAAACGTATGACTCTTTACCGCTTTAAGCTCTCTCCATTTATTTTCAACTAGATTTCATTTTAGATTCAAATGTATCAAATTTGATGACGCTTAGTTTGGTTTATATACAAAAGAACTCTTTTTTTTGTGTGTGAATTGCAAAGTTCAAACTCCGGCTTTTTAAAATCAGTACTTTAATCAAGGCTGCTTTATCTAAATAAGCTGCTATTTTATCAATTCAAAATTTGCTTTTCTTCATGATGTTAATCGAGCAGACTTTACTTGTACTCTTATATATAACGTTATATCTAACTAATAAAATGGCATTAAAATTGAATTTACCAGACAAAATATTTGCAACAGTAATACTTTATATGCGTCAAAGTCGAAATGAGCAAAGCTGAGTTTGTATCAATTTTATTTTTTTATATTTTAACTTTTCATTCATACTTATTTGTTATTGCTTGATAAAAAAATAAAAATAGACTGTGGTTTTTCTCATAAATACATCATAGTTGTTTGTTCTACAATTTTATACGCTGCTGTGTTTCTATATAATAAATTGTAAAATCATTACATTTAGTCATTAATCGATGGACGCCTACAATTATTGAAACAAGATATAAAAAGATATTAATAATCTTTAGTGATTATTCTTAATCTTTTATTCTATAATTATAAAATGAGAAGTAAATTTTTTAATAGTTTGTATTAAAAAGTCTTTAAAACATTTGTCTAAAATACTGGTAACGTTACAAATAAGTTCAACAAAGCCGTAGCAAAGTTTAACAAAGCCATATATTTTCGATTCTCTCAAAAAAAAATTTAACAAAGCCGTATATTTTCGATACTCTTTTAAAAAAAAGCCGTATATTTTCGATTCTTTTAAAAAAAATCCTCAAATTTTTGAAACGGGTAATAAAAAGAGATTAAATTTTGAAAAAAAATATTTTGAATTGTTAAATAAACTATTAGCTAACATCAAAATGTTGAGTAAACAAATTTTTTTCCTCTTCATTTTCACAACAAAATCGTAAATCCATTAATCATAGTTTAAGAAATTTATTTATATTATATATTATAAGGAATAAACTGCACGGTAGAAAATTTGAAATACACTTTAAGCTTTTTCTCATAAAATCTTGGTGAATCACATAAATGTTTAGCAAACACACATGTATTTGTAATGTATTTATAACATTATATATATGCTAGTTTTAACTATATTTATGAGTTTGTTTTTATTTTAACTAAACATAATTGTTATATAAAGTGGTTTATGTCCAACACAAACTAAACATAAAATTATCAGTGTTACAATATTATTTACTGCATATCATGCTTATTTTAGCATGGCTATAGAAGATCAGGATTTTAGGCACCACACTAGAGCTGTGACAGCTGCATATCAAATATGGAAGGAAGACTTCGTGGAATCCAAAAATCAATACCTTTTGCGATTCCATGAGAGATAAATCATCATTTAGATCCCTAGTTTATCCAATTAAACTATCTTCTATTGAACCAGTTCCACACAGTGAATTGCCTGTGACTGCTCCAACTCAATCCAAAAAAGCGGTTGTATATCATTCTGATGAAGATACAATTGATGAAATCTTTGATGACTGTGATTTTAGGAAACTGAATGATTTGCCTCAAAATACCAAAGAGACATAAAACAATTGCATACTATTATGTAGTATCACTGTGCTCTTGTCATGCCCTTCGTGTTCTTTTTGGTGAAACTGGCATTGTTCAAATTTTGAAAAGATTATTCATTGAAACCTCAAAAAAAGTCTAAATGCAGTTTTGCTCCATAACATATTAATTTCCTTTAATCCAAGTAGTGCATTCTGTTCATCTAAAGGAAGACTACGAGAACATAAAATTGTTGCTTGAAAAAATCAATTACAACAGTTATAAGATGCATGTGGAGTCTTTAAGATAAAAGCATTTTTTCTCGGTCTACAAGGAGGATACACGAAGTACTACTATTTTTTTTTGTTTATGGGATAGCAGGACTGCACAATGTTATCAAGCAATCTCTGATACCTTTTGAAATGATCTTACTTCTACCCCTTCAAATTAAACTAGGTTTTGTCAAACAATATATCAAAGCATTAAAATAGCTTGTGCGGCATTTCAGCATGTTTGGCAAATGTTTCCTAAAGTGTAAGATGAAAAAATTTCAGCTTGTATATTTGTTAGTCCACAGATTGAAGTTATGTAAGGAGTTGTAGGACAAAATGTCTGCAGTTGAAAAAGAAGCGTTGATTTAACAAACAAAGTTTTAGGCAATAATAAAAGTGATAACTACAAAAAGCTTGTGAAAAAATTAATTTTACGGTATGCAGATATGAATTAAAGAATATCAATAAAACTACCTACCTACAATCATACTTAAAATTTTTCAGATCAAATTTGGATAATTGTGAAGGGCATGGAGAAAGTTTCATCAGAATATTCTTAAAATGGAAAAAAAAAAATCAAAACAGATGGGATGCAGCTAATCTACGTTACTAGACCTGGTGTTTCTTAAATTAATAAAGTAATATAAAAAAAAAATTGATAAACAGAAACTTTTTTTTTGTAACATTGTCTTATCAATGATTAATCAACAGGCTGAATAAGAGGTCGCGGGCGTCCAGAGATTTTAAAAAGCCCCCAGAGATTTTAAAATCAAATATAGGTGTTACAAATTTTTGTAACACCTATATTTGATTTTAAAAACTTATTTTTTTAAGAACCGGAGAAACAGAAAAATATGTATTTTTGAATTTTATTTTTATTTGTTATCTTACAGACTTGAAGTAATAAAAAAAGGTAATATAAGTACCACTGCAACCTAATATATTACGATAAGATGGTGTATAAGTTATCCATTTCATACGCCCGCCACCGTCAACTATTGTCTGTGTTAAACACATCTCAACTGTTAACAAAAATAAAAAACGTTTTGTTACAGTAAAAAAATATGAAGAGATATCAAAAGTTAAGCTAAAAATTGCTGAAGACCTAAAAAACGCAATAGTATTGAAAGTTAATACAGAAGCAGATATAAAAGCAAAAGCAGGTTAAATTAAACATTGAGCTCAAAGAACTCACTTATCATGTCATTGGCAAACATCCAGATTATTTAGCATGTCATTCAAGCGCCTTTAATTTGAACTGGAAATATTGATATGGAATAAACGTTTAATACTGTTAGTTGAAATTTACTTGCTAATATATAAGTTAAAAATTAAACCGTTGAAATCGTGGAAAAATTGTAACCATAAATATTAGATAGTAATACCAATAAAAACAATTAGAAATAAAAAAGCAGCCGTAGCGCAGTGGTTAGCGCTTTTGCGTCAGAAGTTAGAGATCCGTGGTTCAACGCCACCACTGGGCAAGTTTTATAACATTGGTAAGGAAGGAGGCGTGCACATCCTTTTAAATGCTCTTTTGCGGTGTTCTGTGATAAAACCTTAAGGACTTCTTGGGGCACCTAAAATTAAAAAAAAAAAAAAAAGCAAGTATCCCACAATTACAAATAAAATGTAGGGCTCCTTTTCCATTATAAAGATAAAACTTTTGACTATTTCAACTTTATTTAATTTAAGACTACTTGTCTTAAAGGAACTAATTGTGTACTTTAAAAAGAAATAAAAAAAAGAGTCCTAAAAAGTCCCTCTCCTAACTAGTCAATTATTATTAATTAATATATTTACAAACCAAAATTATTGACTTGCATGCAAAAGCATTAAAAATCAAAAAAATATTAACTTATCGAAAAAAAAAGCTTTAACAATAACAAGTGTTGATTATTTGTGATTTGCGAAAAAAAAACAAAAAAAGATATAAATACCAAATAGAAATAAATAACTTTGAATTAAAAATAGAAAAAAATAACTTGTTTAAGTCTTCAAAAAAGTCTTCAAAAGTAGGAGTATTATTTAATATGTGATTTAAAGCAACATTTAAATCAAGAAAAAAGTCTAAAGAACTTCACCAATTGAAAAAAAAAAAATGTCAACAGATGCAAGTATATTTACAAAAGGTTTCCAATGCAAGTTTATTTACAAATAAAATTTATTAGCAAAAAAAATCGTAATAATCTTTTAAACACATGCTCAAACACAAAAAAAAACACAAAACTATGTACACCTCCATAAAAACACAAAACTATGTACACCTCCAGTAAAGTATGTTATAAAACACAAAACTATGTGCACCTCCATAAAGTATGTTTTAGATAGCACTCAACTCAGATAAACAATAAGGAATAACCATTGTTTGCCCTTTGTTTTTATACTAAAAAAGAAAAAAAATCAAAGTTAAAAATAAGCATTTTGTATATCTATATTTGATAAAGCCAAAAAAAAATCTATACAAATAAAGTTTAATAAAACCTTGACAAATTTCTATAGATTTAAAATATTAAAAGAAGTTCCAAACTTTTTTTTCGTAAGTCGTAAACATTGTGTAGTATCAAAAAGTATTATGTAAAATATCGTGCTAAAGTTTCTACGTATATTTTAAACGAAAATATGGCTAACAACTTAAGGGATGAAATTAACTTCTTAAAGTTATCTTAATAATAAAACTATTAGACAAACTACCATAAATTAAATGATTTTTTTTATTAACTAATAAGATGTATTTTTATATTATTTCGAAAAAATGTATGTCTCCATTATCTCTATATTACTATTATCTCTTATATTTACGTCTCCATTATTTCTGTACAAAGAACAATACTTCTTAATGACTATTAGAGCATAAATATTGTCACAAATTTCTTTGCCAACTATTAACTTTTTTTTTTTATCTTTACTTTAATTAAATCTATCTTTAACACATACTTAACATTAAAACAACTTAATCATTCAAGATTATTTTTATATCAGGATCCAAAAAGTAGCTTAGCAACAAAGAAAAAGAGTTCTTTGCCAACTTTTAATCGGGCTCCCATATTTTTTCATCGTCCCCTCCTCTCCTCGACAAAAAATTATACATAAAACTTGTATGCTTATTCCGAAACACAATTTTAAATTGATGTCATAGAAACCAGTTTAATATGTTAAAAACGTATTAGACTCGCATACTAGTTTCTGCCTTGTAATTGTTAGCTATTTAAGCAAATCTGAAACACTGCACATTGGTCGGAAACATCACTTTTCTTGGCCAAAACTAGTAAAACTTGAAATTATCAACATTTAGAATCAAAATTTAAACTAAATTTTTACATAAAAATTTTTTTTTTTTAGTTCTAAATTAGAAAATATACAATACTTACGAGTAAATATGTTGTTTCTGGAAATTGAAAATATGATTTACACACGTATTTACAGAAAAAGTTAAAATTTTATTAAACACTTTAATTTAAATACAATTCATTATCCAAAAATGTATTTTCCTCTTCAAGTTGTTCTGGATAATCGTCCTCGTCGCCATCCATATTTTCTAAATTCTCAGTCGCACATGTTACACTGATATCCTCACAATACAATAATTCCTTTACTTCTGGTTGCAGTGTTAAACGCTTCCTTTGGTGCACACGTGTATTTAAGCAAAGAGATGAAATTAATGGATCCGATGTGTCAAGAGCTCTATGAAATACATCAAAAAGATTATCAATGCGGCTAGTCTTACGTGCATGGTGCAGTCTGTTGCTTTTATATATTTTGTTTCGTGACTCAGCTGCATCCTCTCCAAAGTAACCAACAGGAAGTGCTGTATTCTGCATTATTTGCTTTGAGTGAACTATAACTGAACTATGTACTGTGGGAGTCATTGGCAACCAGGGTTACTTGCTTTGATATTATTGACCAGTTTGAAAGCAATATTCTTCAAATTTATCCAAATTTAGGGAAAATTGACAAGATAAACATATTAATATTATTCTCATTCGAAATATTAATTCGGTGTCTACTCCTAAAACTTTCGAAAATTTATCATATTCTGTAAATGCTCTACGCGATGTGTTGCCGTCATTTGTGGAACCAAAACCAGCTGCTTTCGGAAAATCAACACGAAGACTTAGTTCTTTCCAATACTCATTCTGAATAGACTCTTTTTTTTTCTTAATTGCATCTTTATCTTCATCCGATCTTATTTGCCATTTTTTTACTTCTATCTTGTATCCTAAATGTAGTACGAACTCAAAAAATCTAATCCAGCAGTGCAGTGGACTAATTCCGTACTTTAGATTTCCATCAATAGAATGAAATTTTACGCTGTTATAATATGTGACTTTAAGAAAGTTAGTTTGGGTTGCATGGCATATTGGACATTTTTGATTTGATTTTGTATTGGTTAAAACATTCAAAACTTTTCCATCTATAACAGTTAAAAACAGTCTGAACGTTATTTTGATTATCTAACCAGCTTTGATTTCAACACGTAAGTTTTCAAGCTCTTGAATTTGTTTATTTAAGTCAGCAGCTTCTCTTGTTATCACTTCCTTCGTTTCACTCGTGTACTCTAATAAGGCCGACAAAACCCTGTGGACTGAGGAAAACAATTATTCCAAATCAGGGCTCCCGCGCTACTCAAGGGAATCTCAAGGGAATCACTATTGTGGTCAACAGGCATGAATCAGCATTTTGTGATGCACTTTGATCAAGGAAAGATTGCTTATATTGAGATTAACCAGAGCTGCTGTCAAAACTGTAGCTAAATATCATTTCCGTTGATATGAAGTTACCCGTAATTGTCGCAAATACTTCCTTTTGCATTTCTATAATTCTTTTAGCCGTATGCATTAAAAGCATTTGTAAAGGAACCTTTGCACATTTGTTGTCTACAAGTACACCATCGGGTCTGCACTAACTTTTTATTGCTAATATAATATCATAGGGTGGATAAATATTAGCGTTATGTTGCTTGCTTTCAGTCCGGATGGAACAGTATTGGCTCTTCAAAAAATTGTTTTTGAGAAGAAATGCTAACGCTTCCTCATCAGACATTACAATAGGTGCTTTTACATCATCGACATATTGCTTCCTAATCTTGGATGGACTTTCCATGGTTTCTTTTAAAACAACTGCCAAATGCACTTTTCCTTGTTTTAAAGCCAAAATTGATGCTGCTTGAACTAACAGATTTGTTTCGTTGTGTTCTGACATCGAGAGGTTTGCTGCTTGTCAGATTTCTCAGAGTACTTAAGTTGCGAGCGTCCAGTTAGTGATGCAATTTTTTCATCTGGGCTTAGTTTTACTATGCATTGAGTCTCTGTGGAAGCGATTTCTAAATTTATTTACCTGTTTGTTACAGTTTCTGAACAAAGCCAGCCAGAATATTTAACTTAAAAATCATCTAATCTTCTATGACACTTTTCCCACTTTGCAGACAAATTATTGTTAAGCATGCGTGCTTTTTCTGTTAAATATTTATAGCATTCATCTGAAATTTCATCGGCTCCACATTTTTGCAAAAAATAATTTATTATTGCGTCCTTATTTTTTCCTTTCTTTTGCTGGGTCAACCAAATATCAAAAACTGCTGAATTCTGTAAACAAATGATGCCTGAAAAAAAAATTTACTCAAATCCCGCAAAAAACCGCAAATCAAGATAAACATTTTCAAAAACTAAACACTTCAAAGTAATTTTGTTTTTTAATCTTATGCTTAACACTCCTAAACAAAATGTGTTAAGCTTACTCAAACTTGAAAAATAAAATAAATTCCAAAATGTTAGACTTTTTGAAGATAAAGATGCAATTAAGAAAAAAAAAGAGTCTATTCAGAATGAGTTTTGGAAAAGTTATTTTATTTTTTAGAGTATCCAAATTTTGAGTATTATATTTTACAAAATTAATAAACTTACCATCACCTTCATTTTTTCAACAAAATTAATTTTTGGTTGTTTTGGAGTGTTGACTACTAGATTTAAAAAACAAAAATATATTTCGTGAGTGTAAAAATTTTGACTTTTGGCCAAAAAAAGTAATGTTTCCGACCACTGTGCACTGTCCACATCTTTAATCTCAGTTTTGAAATTTTTTTTCCATTTAGATGACGTTTGCTGATTGCAAAGTCATAGGATTTTTATTAAAAGCAAATAGTCAGTTAATAGTTTACTAAAATAGTTTAACTATTATAAATCGCATAACATTAATACTTAATAAAATTATATTATTTTTATATTTATGAATTAATGTAGTTTGTTTAAATTTTAGATATAAATAAAATATTGCCTAATTTTTTTAAGTGTTAGTTGAGATTATTATTAAAGTTAAAAAAACAATCTGAAGTTTTCATTTCTTAGCTACATAATAATTAGCACATGCTGCTAAAGTTCATGTGTTTATATACATTTCTTAGCTACAAAATAATTAGCACATGCTGCTAAAAGTTCATGTGTTTGTATACATTTCTTAGCTACATAATAATTAGCACATACTGTTAATGTTCATGTGTTTATATACATTTCTTAGCTGCGTAATAGTTAGCAAATACTGCTAATGTTCATGTGTTATTTACATGCTTAGCTACATAATAGTTAGTACATAATGTTAATGTCCATCTGTTTATATACATGTTTAGCTTCATAATAATTAGTACACACTGTTAATGTCCATCTGTTTATATACATGCTTAGCTACATAATAATTAGTACATATTGTTAATGGTTATGTGTTTATATACATGCTTAGCTACATAATAATTAGCACATACTGTTAAAGTTCATGTGTTTATATACATGCTTATTATTTAATACAGTTACAAAATTTTGAATATTTTTAAAAAGTTGGTTGACATGGGCCTCTTATAACTTTTGGAACCAAGTGGCTAGATCCAACTGTTTTTCAACTAAGTATACATAGACATTGATTGTAATGGGGCTCGAGCCTCGTCTGGGAATTTGATCTCAGGGCTCAGCCCCACTCAGAAAAAATTATAAAGCATTATAAAATTGAAAAAAAAACAAAAAATAATATAATATACATAAACATAAGCAATAATAAAAAAATAAAAATCTTTCCTTAAATGTTCAAAAATGTTTAAAAGTTCAAACTCACTCAGGGAAGTTTGCGGTCAATAAAAAAATTTACTGAATCTTTTAACATTTATAAAAAAAAGAAAAGATTTAAACTAAATACACTTTTATGACCAACATGCTTCTTCTCAATCGAAAACAAATTATGAAATTTTCATTTGAGTATATATCTAATGAATATTAATTTAATCATGATTGCTTTTTTTTATATTAACCTATTTGTAAAACTATTATTACTTTTATTTTATGTCTTTTTCAACTCTACTACTAATATTACTACTATTAATTTATTTTTGTTTTAGAAGCCTTA